CATCTAGCTTGTCTCTCCAAATATACACAATGGCGTAACCTTCCAAATGTGCTCCCCCCTCCTCCCAAACAGAAGTTCTAGACTCAAGTTACGTACCGCCAATATAAAATGCTTCAAGATAACCAATTTTTTTTTCTTTTTTGTATTCCTGTCAAATATTGTTGTATTTGTGTTTTTCCTTTTTCTGTTTTGTTAAGTGAACTTGGGCCGGGGTCTATTGGAAACCGCCTCTCTACCTTCACCAGGTAGGGGAAAGGCTGCGTACACACCACCCTCCCCGGAACCCAGATGTGGGATTACAATGTTGTTGTTTTGTAAAGTGAAAACCAAATACAATTTTCTCTTTTGGTATATCACAACGTTGATGTGATTGAAATTGAGACATAATTTGTAAAAGCATATGAAAATATGGCCTAAAATATTTCTGGTAATTTGTAGGATAAGTTGGATATCAAAAGGACACTGGAGGCAGAAGCCAGAAGTTGTCAGTGGATTGTATTATGGCTCGATTGTGATCGAGAAGGAGAAAATATTGCATTTGAAGTGTTGGATGTATGTAGACAAGCGAATCATAACCTTAATGTGTGGAGAGCTCGGTTCTCTGCCTTAATTGACAGGTTCTACCAGCTAGTTGACATCTTCTGTTCCATACTAAGTTTTTATGTGCCACTCACGAATTGTCATTTGTACTTTCTGAAAAATACTTTTGAGATCACCAGGGAAATTCACCAATCAGTGCAGACCCTTGTTCAGCCAAATCAGTTATTTTCTGATGCTGTAGATGTTCGGCAAGTGAGTCCCGTTGCTCAAGTCATTCTTATTTTAAGACAGTGAAAAACTTCTTTAGATCTGAGACAGCCAAGTAAAGTTTGACCTTCATGTTCCTGTGGCAATTAAACTGCAGCAACATTCTTAAATAATAAAATAAGTACTAACCATTATATTTTGATAGGTGGAGCCTTTTGGTCAAGTATGATAGAATGGCCTGATTTGGTTCCTTGCTGTATTTTGCGATTTGAATTTTGCAGGAGATAGATCTTCGTATTGGAGCTTCTTTCACAAGATTTCAGACAATGCTTCTGAGAGGTGCATTTGTCCTTGATTTTGCTACAGATGATAGAAATATTGTCTTAAGCTATGGTCCCTGCCAGGTAACAAATATATTGCATTTTCAAAAAGTGAATTTATTTTACAGTCTGAGGTGTAAAAGTTTTCATCGTACTCCATATGTTTTTGCTGCAGTTCCCTACACTTGGCTTTGTTGTGGAGCGGTATTGGGAGATACAAGCACATGAACCTGAAGAATTTTGGACAATCAACTGTACTCACAACTCGGATGAAGGCACTGCTACCTTTAACTGGATGTAATGTTGCACTAGGTTCCATCATAAAATTATTTCTGAAATAGAAGGTCAAGGTACCTATAATGATTTTGACTTGGCAGGCGTGGTCATCTGTTTGATTACACATGTGGAGTAACGATTTATGAGATGTGCATCCAGGAACCCATTGCAACAGTGAGCTCCAAAAAGCCAATTCTCATAGCTAAGCCTAATTATAGAGTAGAAATTTGAGGCTGCAAAGCTCACTTAATTATGTTGTTTTGGAAAGGTTACCAAGGTTAAACAGCAAGAGAAACTCAAATACCCCCCTCATCCTTTAAGTACAATTGAGCTTGAAAAGCGTGCATCCAGATACTTCCGTATGAGTTCCGAGCAGACAATGAAGGTTAGTATTACTCAAAAGTTTTTCATTGAAATGTCTCTTTTCCTTATGTTTATTTAATTTTAGTTTCCTTGTTATGAAAATATTGCAAGTTTTTCCTTTTCTTTTATTTACCTCTTTGGTTTCTTTGTAAAATTGAACTCGTTAATTTAGGTAAACTAAGGTATAAAGTTTACATGGATCATTTGAGAAATGTAGGAGAAAATTATTATTGAATTGTGTACAGAGACCCTATTTATAGACATTATAATACAATCCTTTACCAAGTAGGATACTACATACAATTCTTATTCCTATTCTAAGTAGGATTGTATATACCTATACCCATTCTAACACCCCCCTTCAAGTTGGTGCATACAAATCATATGCACCTAGCTTATTACAAATGTAATTAATACGAGGACCGGTAAGGGACTTGGAGAAGATATTCACTTGACTTCACAAATTTTGTAATAATATCTCCTGAAAGTACCTTTTCTATAACAAAGTGACAATCAATCTCAATTTGCTTAGTCCTCTCATGTAACACTGGATTTGATGCGATATGAAGGGCCTCTTGATTATCACACACAAGTTCCATCCGACCGATTTCTCCAAATTTTAGTTCTCTCGGCAACTATTTGATCCATACTAGCTAACAAGTTGCTACAACCGTTGCTCGATATTTTGCTTCTGCACTAGATCGAGCAACAACACTCTGGTTCTTACTTTCCCACGATACTAAATTACCTCCTACTAAAACACAATATCTGAATGTAAAATGTCTATCAGAGGGTGATCCTGCCCAATCAACATCTGTATATCCAGTGATATGGTCATGGCCTTGATCCTCGAAGAGTAGTCCTTTATCCGGAGCTGACTTTATATATCACCAGATACGAAGAACTGCATCCAAGTGACTATCACAAGGGGAAGTCATAAACTGACGTACAATACTCACAGAAAAAGAAATGTCAGGTCTAGTCATTGCGAGCCATCTATACCTTTAAGGATTACTGAATGGCTCCCCCTATCCCAGAAGGAGTTTAACATTTGAATCCATAAGAGTGTCAATGGGTCTACATCACGTCATTCTTGTCTCTTCAAGAATGTCTAAAGGCATACTTGCGTTGAGAAATAACAATATCCGATCTAGATTGAGCAACCTCAATACTAAGAAAATACTTTAGTCTATCGAGGTTTTTAGTTTGGAAATGTTGAAAGAGATGTTGCTTTAAATTAGTGATACCATCTTGATCATTGCCGGTGACTACGATATCATCAACGTAAACAACCAACGAAAATACACAAATTTGGTGCATAATGCCGATAGAACATAGTTTGATGAGCTCCACTACAGGTCATGCCAAACTCCTGAATTATTGTGCTGAACTTCCCAAACCAGGCTCGAGGAGACTGTTTCAGACCATAGAGTGACCTACACAATCGACATACAAGGGTACTAGACTCCCCCTGAGCAACAAAACTAGGTGGTTGCTCCATATAGACTTCTTCCTCAAGATCACCATGCAGAAAAACATTCTTCATGTCCAACTGATGAAGAGGCCAATGACAAACGACAACCATAGATAGAAAAAGACGGACAAATGCTATTTTAGCCATGGGAGCGAAAATGTCACTATAATCTAGACCATATATCTGAGTATACCCATTGGGACCAAGGCGGGCCTTAACCAATTGACTTGGTCGTTCAAACCAACTTTGACCGCATTAACCCAACTACAACCAACAATAGATTTATGAAGAAAGGAGAACAAGCTCCCAAGTATCACTTGCATGTAAAACAAATATTTCGTCATCCTTGATGAGAAAATGCCTAACCCATAGATTTTGGAACATACAAGGCTACTAGACTCCCCCTGAGCAACAAAACCAGGTGGTTGCTCCATATAGACTTCTTCCTCAAGATCACCATGCAGAAAAGCATTCTTAATGTCCAACTGATGAAGAGGCCAATGACAAACGACAACCATAGATAGAAAAAGACGGACAAATGCTATTTTAGCCATGGGAGCGAAAATGTCACTATAATCTAGACCATATATCTGAGTATACCCTTTGGCAACAAGGCGAACCTTAAAGTCGACCAACCTGACTGTCTGGACCAATTTTGACTGCATAAACCCAATGACAACAAACAGTAGATTTACCTGCAAGAAGGTAGACAAGCTCCCAAGTACCACTCGTATGTAAATCAGACATCTTATCCATTATAGCCTGCCTCCAACCAGAATGAGAAAGTGCTTCACATGTAGTCTTAGGAATGGAAATAAAGGACAAAAATGATACAAAGGCATAATGGGGCGATGATAGACGATGATTACTCAAGAAAGTATAATGTGGGTTAACATTTTGAGTGGATCAAATACCTTTTTGAAGTGCAATCGGTTGGCTAGGAGGAGTTAAGTCCGTAGTAGGAGAAGGGTCCAATGTATGACATGGATCATCTAGGACTAGTGCTAGACGCGAACGACGATGATAAGTCAGGAGTCGTGGCACTACGACGGAAGATGTAGAAGTAACTTTAGATTCCTCAAAAGTTGGTTCAGGTAAGACCCAGTGTTGTCAAAAGCGAAAAGCGCAAAAAAGCGCTAAAGCCCTGATAGAGCTTAAAGCGCAAAGCGCACTAAAAGCGTGGGCTTCACTAAAAAAAAGCGCACTATGAAGATTTTTTAAAATATATATATATATATATATATATATACTATATAGCCACTA